GGTGACTGTTTAAGTTTCTACCCTTTTTTTTTTTTTTTGATATGGAGTCTTGCTCTGTCACCCAGGCTGGAGTGCAGTGGTGTGATCTTGGCTCACTGCAACCTCTGCCTCCTGGGTTCAAACAATTCTCCTGTCTCAGCCTCCCGAGTAGTTGGGATTACAGGCACGTGCCACCATGTCCGGCTAATTTTTATATTTTTATTAGAGATAGGGTTTTGTCATGTTGGCCAGGCTGGTCTCAAACTCCTGACCTCAGGTGATCTGCCTGCCTGGGCCTCCCAAAGTGCTTGGATTATAGGTGTGAGCCACTGCGCCTGGCCTCTACCCATTTTTTATTGGCTGTCTTATTTTTTATTGATTTATAGCAGTCTACAAATTCAAGATAGGAGCAAAGAGACATATTTCTATTGTAGAAATGAATGCATTTGGCTAGGTGTGGCAGATTACATCTGTAATCCCAGCACTTTGGGAGGCTGAGGTGGAAGGATCACTCGAGCTCACGAGTTTGAGAACAGCCTGGGTAACGTGGCAAAACCCAGTCTCTACAAAACATACAAAAATGAGCTGGGCATGGTGGTGTGCACCTGTAGTCCCAGCTACTCAGGAGGCTGAGGTGGGAGGATTGCTTGAGCCCAGGTTGAGACTGCAGTCAGCCGAGATCACTTCATGGCCTTCTAGCCTGCATGGGCGACAGGGTGAGACCTCATTCCCTCCACCCTACCCCCCCAAAAAAGAAATGAATTCATTTGTTTGATGCTGTTAGAACACCACTAACTACCTTTACTTTGGCCCCAAATTCACAAATGAACCCTCCAGAAGGTAATGCAGTTAACTTCATGCATTCTCTTTAAACAATGTACTAAGTCTTTATGCCAGGGAATTTGGTATTAACAGATACAGTACAGGCCTCTCATTTCAAAGTAGTATTCCTAATCAAGAAGGAAATGAGAGACCTGTATTGGAACCGTCTTTAACATCTTTGATGTTGGTGAATTTAGGTAAGTTATTCAACCTATTTTAGCCTCAGTTTCTTCATTGGAAAAATGGGGCAAACAAACTTATTTTACAGAGTTGTGAGGATTAAATGAGACAATATATAGAATAGGCTTTGCACAGTGGCTGGCATACAGGAAACGTTTAATATATGGTAGCTACTATAAACTCGGTTATTTCTATATAGCTTTCCATGTCTACATGGAGGGAGAAAATGAGCAATGTCCGTTGTAGTTCAGCTATTACAGTTTTCACTCCAAAGTAAAAAAGGCATTTAGATTTACGTAAGTCTTCTGGGAGTTTGGTTCTTGTGACTCCCTTCATCTGTGAGACCATAGGTACTTTTATGTAATATGATAAAAATTATTAGAAAAAGGAAAAAAACGGCCAGGTGCGGTGGCTCACACCTGTAATCCCAGTACTTTGGGAGGCCAAGGCAAGTAGATCACCTGAGGTCGGGAGTTGGAGACCAGCCTGACCAACACGGAGAAACCCCCGTCTCTGCTAAAAATACAAAATTAGCAGGGTGTGGTGGCACATGCTTGTAATCCCAGCTACTTGGGAGAGTGAGGTAGGAGTACCAATTCAACTCAGGGGGGGTGGGCGGAGGTTGCTGTGAGCTGGGATCGCACCATCGCACTCTAGCCTGGGCAGTAAGAGTGAAACTCTGTCTCAAAAAAAAAGAAGGAAAAGAAAAAGGGAAAAAAAGGCCAGGAACGGTGGCTTATGCCTGTAATCCCAGCACTTTGGGAGGCTGAGGCGGGCGGATCACAAGGTCAGGAGATCAAGACCATCCTGGCCAACATGGTGAAACCCCGTCTCCACTGAAAATACAAAAATTAGCTGGGTGTGGTGGTGCATACTTGTAATCCCAGCTATTCGGGAGGCTGAGGCAGAATTGCTTGAACCTGGGAGGCGGAGGTTGCAGTGAGCTGAGATTGCACCACTGCACTCCAGACTGGCGACAGAGCAAGACTTCATCTCAAACACAAAAAACAAACAAACAAACAAAAAGGGAATAAAGATATATGCAAAGTACAGTCCCTCAAATTTTTATTAGACCCACAGAAATAAAATTAGTCTGTTAAATTGCTATAAGTTTCTACATTTACTTTCTGTAAGTGACTTGTCATGGATGTGTAACAAAGGGCTTACAGACTGGCACTGCTCTGTGGACCACACTCTTGGTGGAACTGCTCTAGAGTGCTGACAAAAATCAGACTTTGAATCCACAGGGCTGAAGTCAAAGCAACTGAAGGGTGTCCTGACTCATGGCTGGACACCTAGTGGCCTCTTTCTAGTCATAAGCACAATGTTGTGTCACTCCTTAGTTCAAAAACCATCTATTGTTCTGCCTGACTCAAGGGTAAAATCTCAGTCCTTTAATCTGACATCCAAGGCCTTCCAGAGATGGTTCTAAACTTTTAAAGTCTGACTTTCCACTATTCTCTATTTCCCTAGACTGCACTGTCCAATATGGTAACAACTTATCCCACTTGAAATGCAGGAAGTGAAATGAGGCTAATTTAGGAACCGAATTCATAATCCTAACTTTAATTTAAAATAAAATTTAAAAATATACACGATTCGATTACCGTACAACTTTTAAGTATGCTTGGAACAACTTGGATATGTGAATCTATTTTTTCAGCTGGAAATTTTACGAAATCAAGTACTGAGATATGCTGTAAGTATAAAATACACACCAGATTTCAAATGCTTAGTTATGAGAAAAATGTAAAATATTTTTAATGTTTAGTGATTTTTTATATTGATCACATGTGAAATAATATTTGGATATACTGGGTTAAATAAAAGGTGTAATTAAAATTAATTCCACCTAGACAACATGTCCCAAACCTAGGCATCACTATTGATTCCTCCTTTTCTTCATTTAATTGGTGAGCAAGATAGGTCAGCTTTTTGGATCCATCCACTTTCCTCATCTCTACTGCTACTATCCTAGTCCGTGATACTCCGTTTCCTAAATCCTTCAATGGCTTCCAGTGCACGTCACCTTCTTATCGAGGCTGAAGACTTCACCTCCTATCATTCCTTCTTTTGGTCAGTAGACTTCAGCTACACTGACCTTGCTGTTCCCTAAACACAACAAACTTCTCACCTTAGGGCCTTTGCCCCGCTATTTTGGTTTCACACTCTGTTCTTAAGTCCTTTCTAATACCTTCTCAGTGAGGCCATCTCTGATCAACCAACCACCAAAAGTCTGCTCTCTTTTCCCCAGACTAACACTTCATCCAATCAGCCTTTAATTCTCTTCACAAACTTTTTTTTTTTTCCTTTTTGAGACGGAGTCTCGTTCCATCGCCCAGGCTGGAATGCAGTGGGGAGACCGCGCGGCTCACTGCAGCCTCCATGTCCTGGGTTCAAGCTATTCTCCTGCCTCAGCCTCCGGAGTACCTGGGATTACACGAGCGTGCCATTGTGCCCAGCTAATTTTTGTATTTTTAGTAGTGATGGGGTTTCGCCAGGTCGGCCAGGCTGCTCTCTCACTCCTGAGCTCAGGAGATCCACCCACCTCAGCCTCCCAAAGTGCTGGGATTACCGGCGTGAGCCACTGCACCCGGCCTTCTTCACAAACTTACGGGGTATTTTCTCATTTTAAAAACTTGTTTATACGCTGTTTCCCTCTAAAAACAGGAGTAGGAACCGTCTGTTTTGCTGCTGCTTTATTTCAGTGTAGGTGAACACCTACTCTGTACCCGGCACAGAGTAGGTGTTCTTCCAACAGTGTTGAATGAGTATCTAATTGCTGACTACACGTATCTGTCTGGTTGGCTCACAGGCACTTCAAATTTTACATGGTCAAAACAGAGACTTCTTTCTTCCCTAACATATATTCTCTTATTTTGTTTCTAATCTCAGTGAAGATATTACTGTCCTCGTAGCTGCTCCAACTCATTTGGCAGTCACCTCTGACATCTATTTTCCTCAGTCATTTTCAGTTAACGAAATCTCCCAATAACCACTTCATCTTCTTCACAACTACTTGTCACCAACTCAGTCCAAGTCATTGTTGGCTCACAGTCTGTTTACTCCAAACTCTTTTCCTTGCCTCAAATTTTTGTGTAACAGTGATCTGTCTAAAATGAATTCAATCCTGATTCTTCTACTTAAAATCTTTCAATATCTTCCTGCTGGCTCTCAGAAGCTGACTTCTGCACATAGCATTCAAGGCCTTCACAAGCAGACCTCCAGCACTGTCTTCTTTACCCAAAAATCTCTCCAGTGTTTGCCTCCAAACATCGGTACTTACTGCTTCTTATCTAGGTCTTCCACAATACCCTTATTAAAGCCAATTGCTTCTCTAGTCCCATTCCATTTTATTCCTCCCTCTTGGTTTAGTAAGGGGTTCCTCCTTTATTTGATTCCACAGTATTAAGTAGTTTCACTCTCATCATACTGATGATGCCTACTTACTTGTCTACATTCTACCGCGTAAGATTAATGGGGGAAACGATTTTCTAACAATAATTAGCTGAATGTTCAAACAATGCTCATTCTGGGGGCAACGATTTTCTAACAATAATTAGCTGAATGTTCACTCAAACAATGCTCATTCAAGTAATGCTACAGAAAAACATCAGCATTTTGACAAATTTCTATTAACTGAAGCAATGAAAATATTAAATCAAAAGAAAACATAGACTATGGTTCCTATGCTTTTTTTCTGTTTTAGCCACAATGCTTTAATAAATTACGCAAAGACTACAAACCTTTATTACACCAATTGTTACAAAAGGCTAAGTGGAGAAAGATTACTTATCTGAGGCTGCACAAAATCAGTGGGCAATATGGATTTCATTTAAGGTTGTCAGTTCTCCTGGATTAAATTCTTGGCGCTGTCTCACATACTCCCAAGTCCTAGATGTAGGATGCTAGAAGTTGCAGTTACTAGGTTGGGAAAGCCATGCCCTGACTCCCCTGCGAAAAACATATCAATATGTTAAGTTCCTTAGCAAATCACATCTAGATTAAGTTCATAAGGCTTTTTTTTTTTTTAACCTTGTAAATCTCCAAACTTTTGCCACTTAATAAAATACAACAAGTTTTGACATCCCAGCCACGGAAAAACAGATCTCTACCTCTGAGGTGGCAGTAATCCAAGCAGTTACTAGGATCTACGAAATATGAGGCATCATTAGAATGCTCGGGAAAAAAATCTACAGAAATATGTACATCTTCGTCATGAATCTGACCGCTGAGTTTATGCAAAAGTGGAAAAGGAACCTCACTCGTTCCTTCCCTGGTACCTTCACAGCGTCTCCCGTCCCAGTCTGACTAGTTGAATCTAGGGACACTTAAAAGGTAAATCCTAGCCTCCTGGCTGTCCTTCCGTCTCCCAGGATTCTGCTAGGCCGCTCAGTTGGCAAGCTTAAAGTCCAAAGACTCCGCACTCTCCGTCTTTAAACGGTCATGTCACAGAGACACGAAGGTTAGCATAGAACACTAGTTTCCAAACTACTACCCACCGCAAAAACAGGCGGGAAGGCTCCGCGGCCACCCAGCCTCTCCGCCGCGCACATGGCCGGCCGCAGCTCCCACCCCCGCTGCCGCGCAGGCGCCGGGTGGGCCGGGACTTGCGGTCGCCGAGAGCGGATCATTCCGCCGCTTTCTTTGTGTGGCTGAAGCGCTAGAAATGGCATATTTTCATCCCTTTCGTTAAAAAATGAGACTCTCTTTCCCCTCTCTCCCGGTGGGAACAGAGTCAGGGAGTGGGTAGGAGCGGGATCTGCCGATGAGTGCAGAGGCGGAAAATCCTCGGGCGAGCAGCTGACGAGGGCCGGGTCCAGGAGGGATGCTGGGAGCTTGACTCACTCGCACACCATGTGTCCCTCCGCGCGCAGCACGGGGGACTTTTCGGTGGGGATTTTGGGCGCCGACCAGACGCGGCATTTTCGGAAAATAGCGCCCTGTGCTGCTGAAGCGCTTTGTGTGTAGCGGGGCCGCGTCAGCCCGGCCGGGTACGAGGCGCCTCGGGTCCCCGCACCACCTCCTGCTGCCTTCCCGTCGCCGCTCCCGAAGCTTTTCCAGGTCAGTGCGGGTCTGTGTAGGGCCCTGTTACCACCGGATGTGGAAGTTGATCTCTTCGCTGGTAAAAAATAATTCCACTTCCCCCGGAACCCAGATCATCCCCGCGATTTCCTGTTTATTGCATTAAGGCGCCGGGTTTCCGGGGCTCCTGGCCCCGCTTATTCCGCGGGGGTCGGCGGGGTCGGCCTGGGCGCCCGCTCCGCCTGCGCCGCCGCTGCGCTTTGTCCGCTGGGCACCCCGCTTCTGGGAGGGGCGGGCAGACATGGTGGCGGCCGCCGCCCCCTCCTCGGCCCTGGCGTGCGGCGGCCTCCTCGCGGCTACCCGGCGGGCCGGTCCCGAGCGGCAGCCCCGGGGTGGCGATGGGGTCGCGCCGAGGCAGCGGAGGTTCTGCGGGCGACTGGAGGTTGGCAGTGGGCGGGAGAAGGAGGAAGGCAGGCGCGGCCGGGCCCGGCCTCTGGCGCCGCGGTACCCTTTGTCTGGGCAGCTTGACGGCCCCGCCGGGCTCTCCGGAGAGGGGAACGGGCGGCGGGGGCGGCGGGTCCTGGGCGCCCTGTGCTGCGGGGCCGAGAGGCGTCCGGGCCGCGGCGGGATCGGCCGGCCCAGACAGGGTTAACGGGAGAGCCTGGCCAGTCCCGCGCGGGGCCCCCGCAGCGACAGCCTTGGCCGCGGGGACTGGAGTCCTGAGGGGGAGAAGCCTGCCGTTTTGAAGGCTTGGGACTTCTGCCCGAAAGACTTCGCCGCCGAGACCCGCGGGTGCACGGCCTCAGGGAAAAAGTTGAGAATTTTGCCAGGTCATCTCTGCCAGGGCACAGTTCATCGGTGTGTATTTAGTGTGTTTCGGTGAAGCTCTCCAAGTGTGTTGAATCAGCGTGCCTAGCCTCGAGGGTGCATCGTGAAAACTGAAACCAAAGGAATGATACAGGCCTGCTTTGTGTGTGTCTTCCCACTTGAAGCTTGTTTTCAGTACAAATACTCTTGCTTTAAACCTGATTGGACTGTGGCGAGCGGACATCTGTTCCAAGGAGGGGCCGAGACCACAGTACTTCTGAAGGGGGCTTGATAATGTGGAAACATTTTAAGTTTTCTCTCCGGACTGTTTTGCTCTTTCAATTCAGGCAAGTTACTGAAGTACGTTTTTTATCTAGAAAAAGGTTTGATGTAGGCTGTAGATGGTCCTTGTAAAGTATATTGCCATCCCAGAATGAAAAGATCCACTCTCATTTATTATGCAGAAGTTAGTGGCCAGACATTCTTGTAGTTTATCTCATGTAAAGACCCACCCAGCTTGGTTTAAATTTTTTTCTCACTGACGTATAAACCATCAGCTTTGATACTTCCATTTTCAGGGTCAGACTTTGAGGAAACTAAAGATGGCTTTATTTTTTTTCTCCTGGGTTTTTTTTTTTTCCAAAAACAAAAAATACATCCATTACATGTTAACATAGATGATTTGTTAAGAGTAACATCTTGCATTTTTGCAAATCTTTTTAATGCCTGGCTTAATAGAAGATTCTCAAATCTACGTCACTGTTGTGGTTAGCACACCATGTAACCTCTGGAACACTCCACTGTACACTCATACTTTTTTTTTTTTTTTTTTAAACCAAAAAACAGAAATGTGTCATTCTTACCGTGCTTTCACCATACAAGTCAAATCAGGATGTTATGCAAGACACATTTTAACAAGACGAATAAGATTGATTCCCATACTTTTTTTTACTGGGCTCCAGCTTTTTTTAAAAGTTGGAATTTAGGTACCTAAACAAAATCACAGATAATGACTGCATAATCTTCCTATGATCTTGGAGACTCAGGAACATTTGAAAATATTCTTAAGTGATTAAAAAATTTAATTCTAGTACGTACAATGATTTACACAAGTAACACGTGAATTCCACATTACGTATGCTATTAACACTTGTGTGTAAATGTTATTTTAAAGATGAAACATGCTGAAAACTATAGGAGGTGCAGATTCTACGGAAAACTAGTTCTGCAGTGAATCCTTTGGTGAAACGAATAGTTCGCAGATACGTATCCTTAGAGTTCTTTGTCTCTTTGAATCATTCTGGGTTTTCTAGGTTGGGAGACAATTATACCTAATTGATTAATGCGTAAAAATTTAAGGCCATACTTTAATGGTTTTGAAAGGAAGCTAAGTTTGTTTCCAGTTGTTTCTGTGAACTCTAGTCTGAATCTGTCAGTCTGTAGTTCTCTACTGTTCCATCAACAGGAAGCATCTGGTCATTCTTGGTGTAATTGTTAGAAAATACCAGGTGTATTTTTAATGTTTGCTGTTTAAATGAAAATAGATTGGATCTTGGTTAAGTTTACTTGGTTTGGCCAGGCACAGTGGCTCACGCCTGCAATCCCAGCACTTGGGGAGGCGGAGGCGGGCCCATCACCTGAGGTCAAGAGTTTGAGACCAGCCTGGCTAACACGGTGAAGCCCCATTTCTACTAAAAGTACCAAAAATTAGCCGGGTGCGGTGGCGCGCGCCTGTAATCCTAGCTACTTGGGAGGCTGAGGCAGGAGGATCGCTTGAACCAGAGAGATGGAGGTTGCAATGAGCCGAGATAGCGCCATTGCATTCCAGTTTGGGCAACAAGAGCGAAACTCCTCTCCGTCTCAAAAAAAAAAAAAGTATGCTTGGTTTTAGTTTGTTTTTTCCTCTAACATTGTGTCATTATAATGGACCACATCTCCTGTACCATGGATGTTTTGTTTTGTTTTTCTTTTGCCCTTCATTACCTTGTTAGAAATAGTAACAGGTAAAGTTCACGTGTCATGAGGAATTCAGAAATTACATGAAGTTTTGCATCATGAATTTATTTTTGAGGGTGCATGAGGCGGTTACCCAGTCTCTGTTTGCAGGTAGCCTGAGTTCAGATGAACTCTCTGATGGCCTTCATCTCTTCTGACTTTGCAAACGTTAAAAAACAAACCCACACAAAATCTCGAAGTTCAGAGCAACTTAGTTTCCTTAGTGTCATCCTTCCCCTCCCCTCTCCTCCCCCACAACTAGTATGATTTCCAGCTAGTAATCACAATGTTTCTATAGCCTGATGTGCCTACTTTGGTATAGCTATAATTAGTATTATAGTTTTCTGAAGATGTTTGTTCCGTCATGCTTTCTAGAAGGTAAATCTAGCACTAGATGAGGTCAGTATTAGGGCCTGTGTTTTTTCTCAGTGTTGACATCACAGTGCTCTATACAGAGAAGATGCTTTGGTGCAATCCGCTGTCAGTTCAGTTGTTGGTGGGTTAGTGCACCTTCCTCTGTCTCTCTGTCTGTCTCCCTCCCTCCCTCCCTCCCTCCCTCCCTCTCTCCTTCCCTCCCTCCCTCTCTCCTTCCCTCTCTCCTTCCTTTCCTACCTCTCTCCCTTCTTCCCTCTCTGTGTTCCCCTCTGCACCTTTTCTTTCTTTGACAGGGTCTTGCTTTCCCTGTTACCCAGGCTTAGTGCAGTAGTGCGGTTATACTTCACTGCAAGCTCCACCTTTCAGGCTCAAGCGATGCTGCCTCTGCCTCATCCTCCTGAGTAGCTGGGACTACAGGTACCTGCCAACGTGTCTGGCTAATTTTAAAATTTTTTTGTAGAGACGAGGTCTCACTATGTTGCCCAAGCTGGTCTCAAACTTCTGGACTCAAGTGATCCTCCTACCTTGGCCTCCCACGTGTTGGGATTACAGGCGTCAGCCACCAAACCTATTGGAGAGTAATTCTGAAGATGGTAGAACAGCTTATTGAAAGAGCAAGGTGTTAGCCCCACTTTAGTTTGTACTAGTTATATTATACGTGGGGTATTGAGTCGGCTTTTTGGGTAGCATACTATCATAAGTGAGACCTTGTATTCATTCTCAGACTTTATCAGAATAATCTGGAGAGCTAATAAGAAACCACACAGAGGCCCAAACTTATGTAGGGTAGGAACGGACCTTTATTTTTCTCATTTCCAAGGTGGTAGACACTAAAGTGTCAAAATCACTGATCTGTAGAGCATAAACGAGGACCTTGATCATGAGAGAAATGGAAATGAGAAAAAGTTGAAAAAATGGGATATTTGACCTAAAGAAGAGGAGCTTCTTTTAAGAAGTAACAGCCACCTTTAAGGATTTGGAGTTCTGTCACACAGAAGGATCAGATTTGACCAGAAGGAACTAGGGTCAGTGGGTAGAAGTTTAAAAGAAACAGATTTCCGCTCTATTTCAAGAGAAATATCCTCAAAACTGTGAAAACAGAATGAGTTGTTTTGGGTGGTAGGCTGTTCCTTTTCCCTGACAGATTGAGGATTCTAGAGTAGAGGAATTGTGCTGAAGGAGAATTTGGGCTAGGTGTCTTAAGTTACCTATAAACTTTGAGGTTTTATTAAATATGCCGAGGTTTATAGGTGGAAGAACAAAAAACTAATTGAGTGAAACAAGCTGGGTAACTGGATAATAGTTTTTGCCTTTTTTGATAAAGAGAAATGAGTATTAAGTGAGAAGGCTATTTAATGAAGGACTGTAAACCACACTGTAATTTGGCAGATTCAGAAGCCTTAAAAATGGGCATACTTTCTGACATGGAAATTCCCTTTAAAGAATTTTTTTTTTTGGTGTAGTAAAGATGTGTGTGAATATTTAGCTGTGAGCATACCAATTGCGGTGTTGTTGATTATACAAGCTGTGTGTTAATACCTTTGACCCCCACGGTAATCATATGGAGTGGGTAGTACTATTTCTGTTTTTCAGAAGAGAAAACAAGCGTAGAGAAATGAAGTTGCTTGCTCAAGGTACCTGAGTTACTTAAGTTTTAGGGCCAGGACTTGAATCCAACCACTGTGACTCTAGAGCCAGTACTATTGATCATTATATGGTAAAATTGTAAACCTAAATGTTTCACAGTGATTGTTAGGGTCCATCCATACAGTGGGGTACTGCCTTCTCAGCCATGAAAATGATAGAATAATATAAATACATGAAAGGATGTCTTGGTATATGTAAGTGAGAAAAAGTAAGATTTAAAAACATGATTCCATTTGGTAAAGAAACCCAAAATATATTGATGTTTGGAAGGATATGTGCCAAATTGTTAAATGGTTATTTCTGAGTGTAGTTTTATAGGTGATTTTTTTTTTTTTGCTTATCCAAATTTTCTAACTTCTACAATGACTATAAATTATCTATCATATGTTGTAATTAAGATATTAAGATGTTATTTTTCAATAAAAAATAAATATGTTACATAAGCTGAGAAATTTGGGTTTTATACTCTGCATTTTAAGCAAGTTTGTAGAAATTGTACATAAATGAGAATTTGTAAATGCATGTAGTGTTTTGTAATTTTTTGTTTGATTCCTTATTCTGGAAGTAATATCAATTGAGTAGAGAAACATACACTGACTCCTAGCACCTAGCATAATCAGTTATCTCATTTTCTTGTGTTTTGTTACTCTTATGTGTAGTATTTTAAATATTCATCCCAGTGTCATCCCAGTTAGTCACACTCTAGCTGTGTGATTTTAGGCAGTTTACTTAATCTCTCCATGTCTCAGTTTCCTTCTTTGTAAAATGGGGATTATTATAATACTTAGCTCATGATGATTGGAAAGAGTAAATGAGTTATTTCATATAAAGTGAACAGTATCTGACACATAGTTAATAGCTCAATAAATGTTAGCAATTATAGGATCACAGTCCACCATTCAGACACTTAGGGTCTAATAGGTTATGGAATTAGGATTTTTTTTTGATAAGGTTAAGGTAGTAATGTATAGCCTTCCAATAGAGTCCAGTGCAGTATCCCCCTTCAAAAATGTTACTGTTTCTGCAGCAAAATGTATGAATGTTTGCACTAAATAGGATAAAGACTGTAAATAGCTTCATATCAGTTTGGGTAAGGTTTACCACAAGATGAGTTATTTTGGGTTTCAGAAGTTTTTTGGATTTTTGGAATTGCAGATAAGGAACCTATAAAATATTAATTTTGAGTCCTATTTTATAATATTAAAACATCTTTTCATGGCATTATATAGTTTTATAGTGCATGGTAAATTAAAGTCAATTAAAATGAAATAATGGAAAATGTCCACCTCCATCTCCTTTGATTAAAAAAATACTGAGCACACTGATACTATGATTTTAAAAAAAAATTTTTTTTTTTTTTTTTTTTGAGATGGAGTCTCTGTCAGCAGGCTGGAGTGCAGTGGCACGATCTTAGCTCACTGCAGTCTCCACCTCCTGGGTTCAAGTGATTCTCCTGCCTCAGCCTCCCGAGTAGCTGGGACTACAGGCGTGCGCCGCCACGCCCAGCAAATTTTTGCATTTTTGGTAGAAACGTGGTTTCACCATGTTGGCCAGGATGGTCTCGATCTGTTGACCTTGTGATCTGCCTGCCTTGGCCTCCCAAAGTGCAGTGATTACAGGTGTGAGCCACTGTGCCCAGTCTAAAAGTTTCGCAGTTTAAAATAAAAAAAAAATGGCTGGGCGCAGTGTCTCATGTCTGTAATTCCCGCACCTTGGGAGGCTGAGGTGGGTGGATCAGTTGAGGTCAGGAGTTCGAGACCAGCCTGGCAAATATGGTGAAACGCCGTCTCTACTAAAAATACAGAAATTAGCCAGACATGGTGGCGTGCGCTTGTGTCACAGCTACTCGGGAGGCCGAGGTGGGAGCAACCCTTTAGGCTGGGAGGTGGGGGTTGTAGTGAGCTGAGGTTGCGCCACTGTACTGCAGCCTGGGTGACAGAGCAAGATTCTATCTCAAGAAAAAAAAAAAAGAAAAAAAAACCTGAAACTTTAAAAAACTACTCTTGTTAGTCCTGATTATGATTCTATTTTTAAGAATATTTTAAACCCACTAATGCTGTGATTATATAATATAGAATCTTTTTTTTCTGAATGAGGCTTGGGCATTCCTATAAC